CTCTGGGTCTTCTGCAAGCACAACCAGTGTTCTTAACCACTGAGCCATCTCTCCAGCCTCTCATCTATTTATTTATTGTGTGTGTGTGTGTGTGTGTGTGTGTGTGTGTGTGTGCATGCACATGTGCTTAGGTGGAAGAATACAACTTTTGGGAGTTGGTTTTTTCTTTCTACTCTGTAGGTTCCAGAGATTGAAGTCGGGTTGTTAGACTTGGTGGCAGGCGCATCTTTACACTTTGAGCCATCTTGCTCACTACATCAACTATCACTTTTACTTTTTATTTCTTTATTTGTATGTATTAAGTTAGTATGCAAAATAATGGGTTTCATTATGGTATTTTCATACATGTGTTTTTTTTTAAATTCATGAGTGTTTTGCCTGCATGCATGTATGTGTACCTTGTGTGTGCACTGCCCATGGTAGCCAGGTGAGAGCACTGATTTCCTGGAACAAAGCATGTGGGAGCTGGGAACCAAATCTGGGTTCTCTGCACAAGCAGCAAATTCTCTGAGCCACTGAGCTGTCTCTCCAGCTCCCTTTATTTTGTTCTGATTCATTTCTTTTCCCTACTGCCCTCTTCCATCTTCCTGAGATCACCCTTCTCAAGAAATTTTTGGCCAGGTATGGTGGCACATGCCTGTAAGCCAAAACTCAGGAGGCTAAGGCAGGAAGATTATGAGTTTCAGGGCAGCTTGGGGAAAAAGTTTTTTTTGTAAGTGAATAATTTTATTAACTTTAAGGGCAGTGTTAGTCTATAGCAGAGCCCTGGAATAATTTTATTTTGCATGGCTCCTTCTCACCCAGCCTTTGGCAGTTAACATCTACTTTCTGTTCCTATGACTTTGCCTACTTGGGACACCTCATTAAGTGGAGTTATGTAATGCTTGTCCCTCTGTGGTCTTCATCATTCATCTGTATTCTTCCCTTCCCTCCCTCCTTCTTCCTTCTCTCCCTTCTTTCTCTCTTCTCCCGCAGTGTCTACTGAAAAGCTGGGGATTGAACTCAGGGCTTTCCAAGTGATGTCCAACTGTGCCACATACCCAGCCCCAAATTTTATTTTTTTGTTGTTTTATTTTCTTTTGAGATAGGGTCTCATGTAGCCCAGGCTGACTTTGAACTTACTATATAGCTGAAGTTAACCTTGAACCTTTGATCCTCCTACATCTACCTACCCAAGAGCTGAGATTACAGATAAGTGCTGTCACATGCAATATATGCAGTGCAGGTGATGGAACCCAGGGCCTTCTTATGTACTCTCTGTGTGCCCTCTACCACTCTACATCCCAACCCCAGAATTTCCTTTTTGTGACTCTTTTCATGTACATACCACATTTTCTTTGTTTATTTTCAGTTAATGGAATTTAGATTGTTTCCATCTCTTGACTATTTTGAGTTGTGCTGCAATGAACATGATATGCAAATATTTGTTTGAGATCCTGATTTTAATTCTTTTGGCTAAATAGGCAGCTAGATATATGGTATCTCCATTTTCAGGGTTTTTTTTTTTTTTTTTTTTTTTTTTTTTTTGCTGAACCTTCGTACTCTACAGTAGCTAGTATACAATTTTGCATTCCCATCAACAATTTTACAAGAGTTTCAGTTTTCCATATCCACATCAATACTTCTGGATTATTTATTTATTTATTTATTTTTTGGTAATGGGTATCTTGATCAGATTTTCATGACTCTGATGAGTATGGATGTTGAACATTTTTCATCCTGTCAGTTATTATCTTTCCTTTGGGGAAATGTCTTTTAAACCTTTTGTCCTTTTTTTTCTCTCTTTTGAGATGAGTTCTCATGTCATCCTAGCTAGCCTAAAACTTGGCTATGTAGACTCTGGGCTTGAACTCGCAGCTCTCCCCCCACCTTTTGCCTCTTGAGCACTGGAATTACAGGCATGTGACACCATGCCTGGCTTTCTTTGTCCGTTTCTCAAGTGGGTGATCTCTTTTTTAACTACTGAGTTGTAGCAGTTATTTGTGTAGTTTTGGTATTAGCCTTTTATCAGATGAATGGCTTGCAAGTGTTTTCTGCTGTTCTCAAGGAAACCTTTTCATTCTATGGTTCTTTTGCTTTTGCTTTTTGTTTGCTGTCATTCCACTTGTTTGATTGTTGTTGCCTGTGCTTTCAGTCTCAGATTCAAGAAATCATTGCAAGCCCAATGCTGTGAAACTTCCCCCATTGTAGAAACTTTATAGTTTCATCGTACGTTTAAATCTCAATCCTCTTTGAGTTGATATTTTTGTAATAAGAGATAAAGATTCAACTTCACGTCTTTATGTATGGATGTACAGTTTTCCCAAAACTATATGTTGAAGAGACTATTTGTTTCCCTTTTTATAGGTTTGCTCCCTCTCTTAGGTTGTCTGTGTATGGGTTTAACCTTGGAGGCTCAGTGTTATGTTCCATTAATCAGAACATCTGTCTTTATGCCACTGGCATATTGTTTTGATTGCTGTCACTGTATAATGTTGAAAAATCGAAACACGTGAGGTCTCTTGTCTTCCTTTTCTGTCTTCTAAATTTTATTTTATTGTCACAGTGTCTCAGTATGTAGCTCAGGCTGGCTTCAAAACACATTATTGTCCTGCCTCCACTTTGCAAGTGCTGAGATTGTAGGCATGTACCTCCATTTCCAGCTTTTTTTTTTAAGTTTAAAAAAAGTTCATTGTGACCTTGGATCTTTGATTTCAATTATTTATTTATTTTTCATTATTTGGGAAATTCTTGACTGTTGTTTTGATTACAGCAAAAATATACATCATAAAATTTGCTCTTTTAAAAAAATTGTGTATTTTTATGTGTATGAGTTTTTTCTGCATATATGTAAGTGCACTATTTGCATGCAATACTGTGGAGGCAGAAGAGGGTGTCAGAGTCCCTGGAACTTGAGCTTAAAAATGGTTGTTAGCTGCCATGTTGGTGCTGGGAACTGAACCTGGGTCTTCTGTGTGAGCAGCTAGTGTTCTTAACCTTCTGAGCCATCTCTTGAGCCCCAATATTAAGGATTTCTTAACCCATGCACAAAAATTAAATACTTCAGTTAAAAAAGCTCAATGAAGGGAAAAAAAGACTGGCTAGTAAGGTAGCTCAGCAGGTAAAGGTACTTGCTACCAAGCCTGACAGCCTGAGTTTGATTCCTGGGACCCACATGGGATCTGACTCCTGCAGTTTGTTCTCTCATTGACACGCAAGTGCTGTGGTATGTGTGTCACTCTACTGCTAACACAAAATAAATGTGAAAAAGGAGAAAGATTAAAAGGCAAGCCACTAGTGGGGAGGTTTCTGTGAACCATCTAGACAGTAAAAATATAGAGAGAACTTTTACTAGTACATTGGAAAAAGATAAACACCCAGTTGAAAAAATGAGGAAAAAAAAGGTAGAAGTAAACAGGAATGCGTGTTGAAACAGCTATGGTACATGACAATTACATTATTGTTGAATAGTTGATAATAGAGCAGTCTTCCCTTTGCATAGTAGAGTGGCAGCTACAGCTGTCTGTAACTTCAGTTTCAGGGGCTGCAGTACCCTCTTCTGGCTTCCGAAGGCACTGCACATATGTCATGTGCTTACATACATGCATATAAGACAGTCATACACTTAAAATAAAAGTAAGTAAATCTTAAGAAACAAAACAAAACAAGGTAGACAGCTCCTGAGCAATGACACTTGAGATTTTTACTCTGACCTTCACATACATGTGTGCACACCATACGAGTATGAACACTCCTGCATCAGCACCCACACATGAAAATGCACACACGCACAGTACTTTAAATAGTATGAAAATCTGTACCACTGGAGTTCTTTTCTTTCTAATACATTCTCACTTCCTCAGCAATCAACAAAATACCATGCCGGTAGCAGCTGAATCCGCAGAATCAAGTGCTTCAGATTTCCCACTGTCGGAAGGTAGGATTGCTACCTCATGTGAAGTAGGTAGAGCTGAGAGTAGTACAGAAGAAAGGGACTCTGGCCTCGAGAGCACACCACCGTAAGTATTTACAGTAGGGTTTTTTATAAAAGTAAATTCTTAAACATTTTTTTCCCATTTTAAAATTTGTGGTGCTGTAGATTAAACACAGGACCTCATCCTACCAGACAAGTACTCTAACAATGAGTTGTATCCCCAGCCTTTGTAAAGTTCTTTTCTAAAGATTTATTTTTAATATTTTGAACTGTGTATATCTGTATGTGGGTGTGCACATGCTTGTACAGGGACCCAAGGAGGGCAGAGGCATAGGGTCCCCTGGAGCTGGAGTTAAAGGCAATTGTGAGCTACCCAATATGAGTGCTGGGAACTGAACTTGGGGGGTCTTTGAATAGATGAACCATCTCTCCAGCCCCTGATAAAGTTGTTGAATGATAATGTTGCATTATTTAGGGAGAAGAAGGGGCTATTAATATGTAGATTACTCAAGGGATAATTTTGCTGTCATCAGAATTTTTCAGGATTTTTGTTTTTTGTTTTTGTTTTGTTTTGGAGTCAGGGTCTCACTATATAGCAGTGACTGGCATGGGACTCGCTATATAGACCAGGTTGGTCTAGCACTCACAGAGATCCACCTGCTCTGCCTCCCAGGTACAAGTGCTGGGATTAAAGGCATATGCCACCACGCCAGCACTTTCTGCTTTTTCACTTGGGATTTTTTTAATTTATCTTTCATTATAGAATTGAAATGTTGTGTGGGTATAGCAGCCTGCCTGTAATTAGCTGAGTGTAATAGCTGCGAGCTCTGTATTTCATTGAGACTTGCCTCATAGAATAAGGTAGAAGAATGATCAAGGACAATTCTAAACATAACCCCAGGCCTCCACACACACACACAGTGCATACTCATGCATGTGAGCACACATATATATCATTTACACATTAAAAGAAGAAAAGATTTTTTGAAAAATGAAGTGTTCAGTTCATGAATGTTTTATTTTCAGTGAAGGACTGCCACAATTTTCCCATCAGAATTTAGTTTTGATTAACATTTATTTTTAAGGCTCCTGTATTGCCAAGTATGGTGGTGCACACCTTTAATCCCAGCACTCAGGAGGCAGGTCTCTGAGACTGAGGCCAGCCTGCTCTACATAACAAGTTCTAGGCGAGCTACGGCTACAGGGAGACCTTGTCTCAAAAAGACCCCCCCCCCGCCCAAAAAAAAACCCTCCTATATTTTGCATTCCATCCCTTACTGGTTTGAGATGCTACCTGTGTTGTGTGTTAAAATCATATGTTTTAGAATCATTTGCATTTTGTTTCATTTACATGTTTACCTTTATCACTGTACTGTTTGGATCACTGATATTGACTGGTATACTTTTAACATCTGATAGAATGGTAGTCTCTTTCCGTTTCCTCTGATCTTCTTATAATACATTTTCTAAGTTTTTAGAGTTTTGTTTGACTGACTACACATTGGTTGTAATTTAAATAATGCCATTTCTTTAGAAATACTGATCAAGCAGAAAATGTTAAACCAAAATTGAGAAGTCGACTCCAAAGACCCAAACCCAGTCTATCAAGAGCAATTGGGAAGAAGTCAGTTGTTTCACAGGGTAAAACAGATGAAGAGAGTGAGACGTCACCTTCAGAAACTCCGGTTGAAAAGGTGGTATGGCTTAAGAGGTTTTATGGAAATTGAAATTATAAAAATATTTTTTAAGTAGTTAGAAATTAAAATACTTATCCTGCACTTTCAAACTAGTTACTAATACTAAAACAGAGGCAAAGCTTTTAAAAACCTAAAATTAGATTTGTTTTAACGTTTAAAAAAATATTTTATTATCATTTTTATTTTATGTGTATGAATGTATTGTGTGCATGTATGTAAGTCTTCCTGTGTTGTGCATTGTCCACATAGGTCAGAAGACGGTATTAGATACCCTGGAACTGGAGTTATGGGTGGTTGTTAGCCACCGTGTGGGTGCTGGGAACCAAACTCAGGTTCTCTGCAAAAGCAGCCATTGCTCTTAACTGTTGAACCATCTCTTCAGCCCTTGTTTTTATTTTATTAGTCTTTGGTTTTATGTGTATTCTTCAGAATTTGGACCATAACATTTGAAAGAATCTAAGTAATTATAAATCTGATTTTGTGTGTGTGGTGTTGGGTATTAAACTCCAGGGCCGTATACATGGTAGGCAAGCATTCTCACAGACCTACATACCTAGCCACCTTTTTTACTTTTAAAATTTGTTTATTTAAAATATTTCTGGTATGTCTGGGTACATGCTATACATGTTTAAGTGTAGAGGTCAAAGAACAGTCCCAGTTGTCATTCTGCAGGAGCCATCCTCTTTAATGTGTGTGTGTGTGTGTGTGTGTGTGTGTGTGTGTGTGTGTGTGTGTGTGTGTAGGTTCACATGCACATATGTGCATATGTATATAGAAGCCAGAGGCAACTTTGTTGTTGATCCTCAGTAGCCATCCACCTTTAACATTGGCCTGAGGCTTGCCATTTAAGCTAGGATGACTGGCTAATGCCACTACTCCTGCCTTCAATACAGGGTTGTTTGATCTTTTAAAAAACATTTATTTATTTTTACTTTGTGTGTATGAGTGTTATGTTTGCATGTGTATAAGTGCACCTGTGTCATGCAGTGCCCACAGAAGCCAGAAGAGCCCTCAGATCCTCTGGAACCCAAGTCATAGATGGCTATGTAGGTGCTGAGAGGAGCAGCTAGTACACTTAACCTCTGAGCTATCAACTTTTTAGTGTTTTGTTTTGTTTTGTTTTGTTTTGTTTTGTTTTGTTTGGAGACAGTGTATTTCTGGCTGGCCTGGAGCTCACTATGTAGACCAGGCTGTCCTTGAACTCACAGAGATTCACCTATATCTGCCTCCCTAGTGCTGGGATTAAAGACATGCACCACCATGCCCGGCTTAAATAGGGCTTAAGTTTTTTTGTTTTTTTTTTAATTAATTAATTTATTTATTTATTCTTTTTGGTCTTTATTTTGGAGACAGTGTCTCTCTGTAGCCCCAGCTGTCCTGGAACTCACTATGTAGACCAGGCTGGCCTTGAACTCACATATATCCACCTGCCTCTGCCTCCCGAGTGCTGGGATTAAAGGCGTGTGCCACCATACCCGGCAGTTTATTTTTATTTTATAAGCATAAGTGTTTGACAAACTGTATGCATATAAATATACCACGTGCTCACAGAGGCCAGAAAAGAATACTAGATCCCCTGGAACTAGAGTTAGCTGCCATATGAGTACTGGGAACTGAACCCAGGTCCTTTTATGACTCTTATACATTGTCAAAAAAACCTTTATTCATATTTTGATTAACATTAAATAAATCATCTTGTGTATTTCAGTTTCTGAGAATTACATTATTTCTTTTTAATATTTTATTTATTATTTTTATTTTATGTGTATGATGCTTGCATGTAAGTGCACCTATGTCATGCGATGCCCAGAAAGGTCAGAAGAGGGCATTGGATCCCCTGCAACTGGAAAGAGCAGTCAGTGCTCTTAACCACTGAGCCATCTCTCCAGCCCTGAGAATTATATTCTTAACACTTTTCAATTTTTGCTAAATCCCTTTTTACATTTGTTATTTTTTATTTTTTTATTTTTTGGTCTTTTTGAGACAGGGTCTCCCTGTAGCCCCAGCTGGCCTGGAACTCACTGTGTAGACTAGGCTGGCCTTGAACTCACAGAGATCCACCTGCCTCTGCCTCCCAAGTGCTGGGACTAGAGGTGTGTGGCCCCTCACCTGGCTTTTATTATTTATTTTATTTGAAGTTGGGGATGGAATCCAGGCCTTGCAAATGCTGGTCAGGTAGGTACTCTACCCCTGAGCCTTATTTTAACCCTGGTGAAATACCATTTTTATCATACACTTTTTTGGGGGAAGTCAAACCTAGGGCCTTGTGCATGATAGGAACTGCTTCTGCACTGAGCCCCATCTTCTGCTCCTGTAATTGTTTTATTATGTGCAGAATAGGATGAGGTAGGGGTGGGGACATGCCACAGTGTGTGTGTGGAGGCCAGAGGGCAACTTGCAGTGCTTAATTCTCCTTCTACTATATTGGTTCCAGGGATCTAATTGGGGTCAACAGGCTTGGCGGCAAGTACCCTTATCCATTGAACCATCTTGGTGGCCCAGATTTTATTCTAGAAATTTTGAAAATACAGAGTGACTTTAAAATAAAAAATGATGGATGGGGCTAAAGAAATGTCTCAGAGGTTAAGAGCACTGGCTGCTCTTTTAGAGGGTCTGTGTTCAGTTCCCAGCACCCACATGGCAGCTAACAGGTGTGTATTACTCCAGTTCCAGGGGAATCTGATGCCCTCTTCTGGCCTCCTTGGACATTGTCCAACACAGGTGCACTTACATATATGCAGGCAGTATACTCATACACATTGAAAATGATAATAAATAAAAATTTAAAATGACTTACAGTTTTATTATCCACATACAACCAGTCTTTTCACATTTATCATTGTAAACTTCTATTTTTTTTTTTTTTTCTCCTGGTGTCAAGGGTAAAAACCAGGATAAAAATTTGAGAATGTTAGGTAAACATTGTCCCAGTACACATTTCCTTTTCAGTTTTTTTGGTTTTTGTTCTTGACAAAATTAGTGCTACTCAGTATTTAACATTTCATAAGTATTTTTAAGTGCCATTAAACATCTTTTGAAAACACTTTTAAGAATCTGTTAATGTTGTATAACTGCATTTATTTAACCATTGATTCATTATTGGAAAACTTAATGTGCACAGTTTTGGCTATTTTAACCTAATGTTTTGATGATCATTTTACCATTTATATCTTTTTCAACTGTCTAAATTTTTTTAAAATTACATTTATTTATTGTGTGTGTGTGTGTGTGTGTGTGTGTGTGTGCGTGTGTGCGCGTGTATATCTGTGTCTGTGTCTGTGTCTATGCAACCCCAGTGTATATGTGTAGGTCAAAGGACAACTTTAGAGAAAGTTATTTGTCTCTTTCCATTATATGGGCCCTAAGGATTGACTTCAGGCAATTAACTTGTGGCAAGTGCCATTACCTGTAGAGCCATCTCGTTGGGCCCCTTAATTACCCTTTAAAAATACAGTCTGAAATAATATTAGTTGGTCGAAGAATATGAACATTTTAAGATTGCTCATGTTGGCAAAGGCATCCTGATAATGTATGAAATTATATGTTTAATAATATTCTCATCTGTATTTAGAATTTTTAGAAAAGCTCTTCTAGTTATAAATACAAAAACATCAAAATTACTTTGTCTTCACATTCATTGGGACATTTTTGTGATAAGTAGCTTAAATTTAAAAAATTAAAATTTCAGAATCCCCTGGAAAAGGAGAAGGTGAATATATCTGAAAGTTTGGGGATGGAAAATATAGAAAGACAGAACCTAGAAGCTGAAACTGTAACTAAGTAAGTATTTGAGAAGTAGTAATTTTCAGGAGTGATTGTAATAATTTGTTTTCTATTTGATAAAACCTGAATTTTATTTTTAGCTGGTATACTTCAAGTCCATTTTCACTATTGGTGAAAGTAAGACATTTCAGTATTACTCTGTATGCTTAATATTATAGGCAGAAATTATGGTATGTGTAGGGCTAGGAATGCAGCTCAGTTGGTAAGAGTGATTGCCTAACATGCATGAGTCCCCAGGTATGTTCTTGAGGACCACATAAACTAGGTGTGATGGTGCATATTTGTGATCTCAGAACTTAGGACATGGTGGCAGGAGGAGCAAAAGTTTACGGTCATCCTCATTTACAGAGTTACTTTGAGGGCAGCCTGGACTACATGGGACCCTGTCTCGTAAATAAATAAAAGTTTTAAATGATAGTGTAGGTCCATTAAGTTAGCAATTACATGTTTCCTTCAGTTTATTAACAAATCTTCATTAACAAAATCTTGTTAAATAGATGAGTGATTAAGATATACCCTTCTGGTTAATTTTATTTGTAATAAGGGATTTCTAAAGAAATATTTAACTTGATATGAATATATAGGTCAGCCCGTCTCCAGTATGCGTGTGGTCATTGGTTATGGACCATTCAAGGATATAGTTTCCTATGAGTTAGCACTACTCCCTTGGACCCTATACATAGTATCCTGAAAGAGGAGTAATGGTATCACATGTTGGGCCGATACAGGTTTTTCTAATTTTGTAGTGAAATTTTGATTTTCTAAGAAGACTTTTTAAAAAAACTATGTAATGTTAACAAACACCAAATTCCATTTTATCAAATGGGAAATGAGGCTTAGGATAACATTTCTCTCTGATTCTCCTGAGAACCTCAGTATTATCTGTGTTTTGGAGGATTCCCTTTCTTATGACATCTGTAACGGTCTCCATCTGTGATGGTATCTGAAGGTATCCTTGTGATACCAACAACGAAGCTTTGTGAAGAGAATTTTCCTAAGTTAATCATCATGGGTCCTTGTGCACGGTATTCTTGTGCTTCTTTTAATCTGGCTTTCAGTGCTTGATCATGTACTTCTTCGTTAGTAAGCACAGGATCTGGCTGAGGGAAAATTTGTATTATATGGAATATCCAGAGAAGGGTGGTGATAGCACACAACTGTCTTGGCTATCAGATGCCAGAGTAGTTCTGTTTTGCACTTACGTTGTCAGAAATATTTCAGCTCATGATCTTGGGGAAAGCACATTATAAAGAGCAGCTTTGTCTGTTGGGAGGGGGATGAGGTGGCATCTATTCTTGTGGTGCAGAATAGGAAACTGGTTTTGATTTTAAAATGCTTTTTATAGTTAGGCTTCCAGGATTATGTCTGTTTGGAAAAGTAAGGTGTAGATATGTTGTGAATACCTTTCAAGATATTCTTGAGGACACTTATATAACAGAGAAACTTTGTGACTTTACAACAAACAGTACTTTTATTTCCTGTGGTTCTAGTCTGAGTGAAAAAACTTGTCCACTGGAAGACAATCACCCAAAGGTTTTCAGACCTACACGACTAATGAGGGGCCGAATGCAAAGACCAAAGCCAAATGTAGAGAAAGCTGCAGAAAGAAAAGAAATTCTCACTTCACAGAAAAAAATTGGGGCCAATATAGAAAAGAATGAAAATGACTCCTGTGTTGATGGAGAAAAAGACAAATCCTGTGTTGATGGAGAAAAAGATGAATCCTGTATTGAGTCCTGTGTTATTGTAAGTAGTTTGGTTCTTCCCCACAGATTTTAAAGCAAGTATGTAAGCCTTATTGCAAGCTTTTCACTCCCTTATAGTCAGCATTGCTTAGCCAGGTGTGGTGGTACATACCTTTAATCCTAGCACTTAGGAGACAGAAAAAGGGGGATCTCTATGAATTCCAGGCCAGTCAGCACTACGTTGTGAGAACCTGTTTCAATAAATAAGTTATAAACAAACAAAAATAAATTCAGCATTGCTTTATAGTTTGTGTATTATTATATCTGTGGCTAAAATTTCGATCAGCAGATCTATTTATTGTGAAGTCATTTTAGATATTGAACACTGTCCATGACTGATGATTTGCTCTCTGCTCACTTTCTCTTTGGATTTGCCTTTTCCTATACTTAGGGAAAGGCAGGCAAGCTCTCCACTCCCAACCCTCGTTTGGAAAGATAGTCATGTGTGAATTTCAACATTGGTTTAAGAAAATATTAAAAACTTTACACTAGAATAGAATTCTAAAAATGGAAATGGTGAATTTTGGTTTTGGTTGTGTGTGTGGTGTAAAGGCCCAAACCTAGGGCCTCCTACATGCTAAGAAAGCACTCTACCACTGAGCTACACCCTAGCTCACGAGTATTAAATTATATAGTTTTTTCTATGTATGTGAAAAAACAAAAGAGTTAGCATGACTTAAGATTTGGTTTTCTTTTGTAATTAAAAAAAAATTTTAGATAGGGCCTCATAGCCCAGGCTGACTTCCAACTCACTGTATAGCTAATAACCTTGAACTTTGATATTTCTGCCTTCACCTAAGTGCTGGGACTGTAGGCATGTGCCACCATTTCTCATTTTACCTGGTGCTGGGATTGAACCCAGGGCTTTATTTGGACTAGGCATCAGATCCCCTGGAGTTGGAGTTAGAGGTGGTTATGAGTTGCCATCTTACTAGCCCCATTCTGTTATGTTTCTCTAATGCAGTTAGAACAATAATTCAAAAAGATAAACACTGTGGAGGATTCTGACACTGCCAGAAACAATGAAATAGATGAGATAGAAACATTGCTTTCTTATTGGACAGAAAAGAATGGCACTTTGAGATACGGTAAAGGTGGCTTATGGAATTTTCTATGGTAGCTAAAGGAAAAACATTCTTTGAGTATCATTTTATAGCTTTGAAACTTTTGACCATTTTATTTACACTCAAATGAGATGCAATTTTTGTTTGTTTTTATTTGGAAATGGGATCTCATGTAGCCCAGGTTGGTCACAAACTCCCTATGTAGCTTAGACTTGCTTTGGCTTGTGATCTTCCTACCTTTAACTTTCCAAGTGCTGGAATAGAGCATGTGCCTTTATACCTGGCTAAGATGGATTTTTCAATGAAAATTTTGAAAGTTAGATGTTTCATTGTGAAATCTAAACATTAAAAACTTCTGTTGTTATTAAGATTCCTCAACAAATGGAAAATAAGTCTTGTAAAATTGTCCAGTGTGAAGACATATTACAGCCTGAGAAAAACTCAACTTCTTTAGAAAATGTGCAACTGGATACATCCAAGGTTCTTAATGAATATCCAAGGTAGGCATCATTTTATCAATTACATAATTTTGAAATTTTTAGTAAGGTTTTAGAGCTCAATGAATTTATTTATTTACTTATTTTTGAGACAGTGTCTCCCTATAGCCCCAGGTGTCCTAGAACTATGTAGACTAGAATAGGTTGACTTCAATCTCCCAGAGATCACTGTCTCTGCCTCCTGAGTGTTGGGGTTAAAGATGTGCACAAGCCTAACTTCAGTTAAGTTTTTCTTAAAGAAAACCAAATTAATTGCATTTATTTCTTCTGTCTGTGAAGGTGGAGGATGGAGTGCTTACATGCCAAATCCAATTAGCTATTTTGAATTATTCAGCTAGTTAGCCTGAACCATAGTTACTCTCCTGTGCTGTAGAGCATTAAGTTTTTCATCTTTTCAACTGTACCCTCAGCCATCCTATCTTCACATCTTCTTCCTGCAAGCATTCTTTTAGTGAAAGTTTTAAAAACTTTTTTATTATTATTCTGGCGGGGGGGTACACTAATGCCATGGCATAAGTATGGAAGTTAGAGGACAGCTTTCAGAAGTCTTTACTTTTATCCTGGGTTTTGGGGATTTGAACCCATTGGATCATCAAGCTTGAAGGCAAGCAGTTTAACCAGCTGAGCCAGTTTGATGGATGACCCAAAACTAAGTGAGTGTGTGTGTGTGTGAGAGACAAAGGCCAAAAATATCAAAAGTATTTGAGTGCTCTTATCTAATCCCTAAAAGATTTTAGGGTTACCTCTTCAGAGGGGGGAACGTTAGAGTAGCAAAAAGCCACATAAGAAAAGAAAGAAAGAAAGAAAGAAAGAAAGAAAGAAAGAAAGAAAGAATATATACACTTAAGTTCTCCCTGACCTGCTGAATAATTTCAGTGTTTTGTTTGATATAGCTTGTGCTCAAGATTAGTGACTTATCTTTTCCTCTTCTCCCTCTTTCCCCCCTCCCTCATTTCTCCTTTTCTCCCTGCCTTTTCTTCCCTCCTTCTCTTTCCCACCTCTGTCTTTTTCTTTCTTTTTACAGGATCTGACTATGTGGCCCAGGGAGGACTCAAACTTGTAATCCTTTTGCCTCTATCTCCCAAATGCTAGGATTACAGGCATGCTCTAGCACATTCGCTTCAGTGACCTTTCTTAAATACCACCCTTTATATATTTGTACTGGTTTTGTCATCTGTTATGATGACTAAAATACAGAGAAAAGAGTGCTGTTGCTTTTCTGGAGAGCAAAGTGCTTGACATAGATGGTTGTATGCTCAGTAGCATTCAGCAAAGTATTAGATTTTCTGTAATTTTATCATATCGTGAGAGCACCAAGCTCTTAGAGAAATTACAGTAATGGAGGAGGTCTTATTTTATTTTGTTAGTTTTTTAATTGAATTTTGTTTATTTCAAACAGAACATCTCAATCAGTATTAATCATCTTTCTCACCCCTCCCCACTGGCACCCTCTCACAGCCCCTCTACTGGAATTCATACATTCTGTCGTTTGTGTTAAGGCCTATCACGTCAAGTTAGTGTTCCCAGATGTTCCTCAGTGCAAGTTCATCTACTGAGGTCTAGTCAGTCTTATCTGGAGTTCCTCACTTTTGGAAGATGAGCTCTTCCTCACCCAGCAGTAATCAGTTGCCAATATTTCTTCACCTAAGGTTGGGATCTGCTGTCCATTTCCCCAGTTTTATGCTGGGTTTTTTTGTACTTGAATTTGCACGGGTCTAGTGCATGCTGGCACCATTGCTGTAGGTTCATAATAGCAGGGTCCCAGGAGCTCATAGGACTCTTATTTCCATATAGTCATGCACGTCTTCCCTGGCTCTTACAGTCTTTGCGCCGCCTCTTCCGCAGTGGTCCCTGAGCTCTGGGTGGGTGAAGTTTAGTATAGGAGTCCTGTCTAAGGATCAGTATTCTGCAGATTCTTAATCTCTACACTTTGATCTTTTGTATTGCTGGGTCTCTGTTTCATGAGGTGTTGCAGTTTTCCTCATGGGCCCAGCCCACAAGGGACTGCAGGGAACGAGGGTTCTGGCCGAGGTGGGGGTGAGCGGCATGGAGTCAACACACAGACACCAGCAGTTGGATGGAAGCAGGCACTAGGTGAGGTGCTGCAGACTTGTTTATTGCTGGAAAGAGCAGGCTTTATATATCTCTCCCCCAGCCCCCAGTATCCCATAAGTTGGTGTGTTGCTCCCTGATAGAGCCCCTCATCCAGGCCCCTCGCGTCATCAGTCTCTAGGTCCGGGGTAAGATTAGGTTGGCTCTTTTGCAGAAGCGTGAACTGCGCTCTCAAGGCAGAAGCTGTATTCTCTAGTACAGCCTGTGCTTAGGCCTGGCACTGCCTCTCCTACATATCCATCCCTTTTTATTATAGAAAGGTCAATGGGAGCTGAGGTTCTTTGCCTTGACATAGTTGACCACGCCTCAGAGGGCACCCAGCTTGATGGACTGTGCCTATCTTAGGTCATCCTGACCATCAGGATCTTACCCGTCATTGACTACCAGCCCTCAAAGAGTGTGACCTCTGGCATGACCATGTAAGGGAGAAGAAGGGCAAGAAGTTACACAGCTGCTTCTCGGATGTCAGCAAGCCAGACCTGCCGGACCTGGGGGGGTGGTGGCGGGGGTGTCAAAGTCTGGATCCTTGAACGTCTTGAGCACCTGATACACCAAGTAACTTACTTGATTTTGTCTGCGGAAGCATAGAACAAGGCATTTTTTGAGCAAGAAAAGAATTAAGACTATGATACCCAAGAGTAAATAAGTAACGATCCATGAAGGGTAAACAAAGCTTTTAAGTTCGACCAAAGTTTGTTGAGGAACCCAGAGTTTATATCTAATGTCTGAGCCCATGTATAATTTAGGGAGATGATCTGGTCAGCGAGCAAATTGGAGTAGTTGAGAAACTTTTGGTTCCAGTGGCCATGGATGTACTGTGAGAGTTTCATCCTGGCCCTAGCTAGGCTATCTACTTTGTAAGGTGTGAGACACAGGGCTTTGAACTGTGGGTCACAGGCCATTAGCGTCATCTGTTTGACGATTGCCATCTCTTCCCCGAGGAGGTCTACCTGTTGTTGGATGACAGAAATGGCCAGGAAGAGGTGTTGATTAATAAGAGACTGAGTGTTTAAGGCCACAGAGGTTTTGCATATGATTTCATTGAGTGTTTCCACAGTAGTGGAAGATTGAGTGATAGCAACAGCAGCAGTGGCGGCAGCCCCTAAGGAAAGGATAATGGCAGTGACATTTGCCACGGTAATCCCAAAATCTCTCTTGACCTGGGGGAAGGGGTGGATAGCCATCTCTTCCATGAGGGTGACAGCATGGAAATGAGTGGCATTAGGAATGGGAACCCAGATTGCTGTGGGTTCGCGCACACAGAAAACCAGAGAGGCGGGGAAAATCCAGAGATTGCAGTTAGCGAGGGAGCTAAGTGTATCCTCTGGGTCACTCATGACATTAGCAAGAAGCAGAGCAAATGGAGGACGAACACAAGTGGGCGAGGAGAATGAGAAAGAGATGTTAACAGAGACTTCATTGGGTGTCAAAGTTGGGTCTGCGACACCCGAGGAACCCGTCTTTGAGTTATCGCCTGTATATGTACCATTAAAGATGGCTCCACCTAATACAAAGAAGAGAGGATGCAAATCCAGGCAAGCCGCTGGCCCTCAGAGCTCCCAGCCCTGGCTGACGGTGTCTTTACGCCTCGGGTAGACATAGGAGTAAGGTTTTGTAGAGACAAGGTGTCTCCAGGCTGCCAGGGAGGAAGCGTGCAGGCATCTATCATAATCCGTAAAGAGGAGCGTACCTCCAGGAGTGAGCGGGAGGCAGTGTTCCCATGGAATAGGAAAGCGCAGTGTGGTGGGAAGTTTATGGGTGGGTGGGCACCAGGTCCATGGAGGACACCTGACCCTTGCGGGGGGAAGGGTGGTGGCCCCAGGGGCCACTAAGGGCACTGTAGTCTCAGAAGTACCTTTTACTAAGGGAGACCAGATTTTGAGGGCCCATAAGGACCCCTGGCTCCAGTTTCCACGATAGTCGCCTGTTGTGATGTTAAAGAGGGAGTGACAGTGAGAGACATTAGGGCAGGAGGGGTTAAGGACTGGGCCGAAGCAGAGCAGTTCTGCAAGGGACCATGTGTTGTTTATGGGAACGGACGCATGAATCAATTTCATGGTGGGGAGACCAAGGGATTCATTAGTAATAAAGAGAACCGGGAAAGCAGGTGACTGTTCATCTACAGGGAGGATCAGAGGTGGTAAGAGGACCAGTGCCCAGAGATCTGAAGCCTGGGGAGAAGCACAGCCAAAGGACAAAAGGGTGCCAAAGACAACGAAGCCAAGAAAGGATGTCATGGCTTATCAAACTCGCAGTCTGGCCTCGTCTCCAGAGGGACTTCCCAAGCTGGTTGGGTGTCTCTCAATGGAATCCAGATGGGAGTTGTAGCATCCTGTGGAAAAATACAAGCGTGTTCTCATCCTCATGTCAGGATGGGGGCTGGTTTCTGCCACAGGGATGAAATAGGATCCCTCCATCTAACTAGTGGCAGAGGCGTAGCCCGAGGCAAGAAGGACAAATGTTTATGTGCTGGACTGAGACCCAGGTCAAACACAAGGAAATTAAGGTGGAACAGAGCCTCAGTAAGAGCCAGGTGAGGGTCACGTTTGGCCTCAGCCGAGGGGCTTTTAGCCAGGAGGGACTTAAGTGTCCTGTTGGACCTTTTGACAATGACTTGTCCTTGCCAACAATGGCTTGTCCTTACAGGTTATAGGGAATACCAAAGGTATGTTTGATTCCCCAGGAGGAAACAAATTTATTGAATTCTTGAGAGGAATAAGGGGGCCCATTATTAGTCTTAAGCACCCAGGGTACGCCCATGATTAACATGGTGGACTTTATAGCTTTAATGGCATGTATAGTCTTTTCCCCTGAGAGAGCTAAAGCATAAGTAAGGGAGGAGCATGTGTCAACTATAACATGAATGAATCTCAATTTCCCAAAAGGGGGGT